ATTCAAAAAATGGCGACGGACATTATATTTTGAAATGGACATTAGATGCTAAAGTAATTTCTTCCGAAAATCATTTGCTAAAACTTTGCAGAAGCATCTTCAGAGGGATGTCTCTCTAGAAGGGCAGTAGGTGAGTGATACTTTAGCCCATAACTTTCTCCATCGAAAATATTCCATGTTGTTGCGACACTTAGACCGTAGGTTTTGAGAAGGTTTTAGTCTTCTCATGTGAGGTTCTTAGAATACCGAGGTGTTACACAGAAATAATGTATTGGAACTCATGTAAAAGAAACTGATATCAGCAGGACCTTTAGATCATATATTTCTTCGAAAGAAAAATGTCGATTATCCACCATTGATATGCATCTCTTAGAGCAAAGCAATTCCCATCTATTTCAGTTGTGAAAGCTCAGTAAGACGCGTTTCATATAAAAAGAAATGTTCAAGGGCACAATGTACAGCGATGGGATAAGTAATATATTTGATACGAAAAATGAGATTATTCTCAGGAATCTTTTTCTCGGTTAGTCAAAGTAGGATAAAATTCATTGAAATAGGTAAAAGCGTGTGGGTTTTCTCATGATATAGATTTGAGCAATGCCAAAATCGGAGAGAGTGGAACAAAGTACCACTGACTCCGATCGTCCCGTCCTACACCTCGAAGTCTCAATGATAAGGTATTAAATGAGTGACAAATAAGAAAGCAAGTTCTGCGAGAATACATTTTGGTGACTTTGACGTAAACCAAAAATTTAATAAAGATAGAAAACAAATGAAAAGATCGAGTTCGTCAACAACTGCGTCTACCGCCATATGAGTTAAACTTAATAAAACATAATCGAATGTATACAAAACGAGTTTGTACAACAATCAATTCTTATTTCTCTAATATTATTTAACCGATATTATGCAGTTTCTTTTCATCTCACAAACAAGAGAATAGGTTTCCTGCAAGGCCATGTCAACAATAGAGGTTTTCATCTTTTGAAATAAGTGATATTATACCGGACAACTTTTCATTTTCGAAGCATGCAGTCTATTGGAAATATATTTACCTAAGTTAGTTATTTAAAGACCGATTTTGAGCTTATTAGTAGCAAATTTTGAGAACATTGATAAGATACGTGAACCTTACCAGAATAAAATGTTCTGAGTTGACATCCATCAGAAGACGTTACTATGTAACGGAAAGCGTCCTGTCGTTGGAAGTGTCAAGCAAGTTTCAGAATACGACTCACACTCTGCGCTTTGAGATTACCATGATTCTTGTTTTGGCAAAGTCAATATGTCAAGCGTTTTGCTTCCAACAATCTTTGATTTATTTATCCATAACTAATAAGATTTTTTTGCTTCAAGAATAAATGCAGAAACATATTAAATAATAATGCATTTGATTTCATTGTTGCATCTATTTGTTTTTTCGCTGAGTCAGTTGATTGAAAACGCTTCATTCAGAGACGTGTGGATCAGGTAGGGAAGGAGTTATGGAAGTTCTAACGCTCAAAACGAAAACTTTCTCTTTTCGATTGCCTAACTCTGCTTTGAGAGCTTTTGAATACGTGTCTGTTTCTTTAGTTCTTTGGTTACCTTAACAACGTTGATTTGTTTGTACTTCAGAGAACGATTAGCATCATGGGAGATAACGCCGATGTAAAAAATTTAAAACGATGTTTCGAAGACATTATTTCGATTGTTCATCGGACCATTGAACAGCTACGACCGAGAAAGTCCGATACACAATCGAATATTCTACATGAGAATTCAGTTTTGAATACCGGTGTATTTACGTTTACATTGAATAAACTCGAAGATGACGAAATTAGTGCACTGAGATCAAGTGTTGAAAATGTTATTGATAAATATCGACCACATCTAAGTAAAATATGTCAAAGATATTTAGTCGACTTTTTATATCAATATCATTACAATGACGTAGAGCGAAAATTTACAAGCTCCTTTACTATGGATAGTCTTTATCCATTTCAATGTGGCCTTCAAGGAGCGCTAGCATCTATTGATGCTTTTGTAGCGGCATGGGAAGGAAATTTGCAGTCTGTCAAAGATTTTATTGAAAAATATCCAACATTCAAAGATAAACCGGGCCTTCATGGAACAACTCTATTATATTCAGCAGCCAAGAACAATCGTATGTCACTTGTTATATATCTTGTTGAGAGTGCTAAGTGTGCTGTCAATGCTCAAAATCTTCAGGATCTTGCAAAAGCTTTGGAAACCCCAAGTGGACACTATGATACCATCCCATCGGCTGCTTCAACAGCATTACATGGTGCTTGCTTTAATGGGCACTTAAGAGTCGTAGAATATTTAATTAAACACGGGGCCGATTATTTCATTTTAAACCAAGCTCACGAAACTCCAATTGAAAATGGAAAACAAAATGCCAATATTCGACAGTTTTTCGAAGGCTTTTTAATACTCGGCTATTCTCCAATGGTGAAAGCTCTACCTCGAGAACCAATTCGAGAAAAGTCGACAACAGGAATATTCGATTGCATATGGGAATACAAACTGCTGTCCAGCCAAGAATGGAAAGAATTTTCGATTGAGAACTCCAATGAATTAAATCAATCGCTTCTCGTGGAGCCTGATCAAGAAATGAAACGTGAAATCTATCTGAATACAGATGGTGGTGTCTATAGAGTTTCACTGATTCAATTTCAGCAATCGGGTAAAAAACGTGATCCAAAAACAAATTTAGCATGGGTTCGTTGTCGTGGTTCATCGATTTGGAACTTTGATTGCTTTCCATTATGGCAACTAATGATTATACAACATACCAGCGTGCCGCCGAATAATGAACCGTCTCTAAAACCCTTTGATGTACCAGCAACTTATGATAGTCGATTTCGGTTACGACTTAATTGCTGGTATAATTGCACGGAACACATCAGTGCGCAACTCGATCATGCAATCAATTATCGACAAAAGCAGATTTGTTTCGATGCTGACTTTATAACTACTGATAGGTTAGATTTCAATCTTCAAGAATTTACATTTACTAATAAGGCAAAGACAATAGTTGGCTGTATACGATGGATACCAAAACTGATATCGAAAAAACAGCAAGATTCAAGCAGGATGCATACAATAGATAATTTTCAGAATTTAGCCAATCTTGATCCCATACCATTTACCACAAGAGGACTCAAACAAGCATCACAACGGAATGACACGAATTCCATTATCAGTGATGAACTGTTAATTGATGAAAATGCTGGTGATCCTGTATTACAAACTTTTCTCAATGCGGATGAAGGTGACGAAGACTACCTTGAAGGTCGAAAAGAGGTGAATAACCATTTTTTTCTAATTGAAACATCGTTCGTACGACAATTTCGCTCTTGTGAGCAATTTAATCGAATGATAAAAATCTTCTTTTAGATATCTGTTTATTATCAACTTCTTCTATTTACGCGGATATCAGGAGTGAAGTTTTTCATAGAGTCAACCTCCAAACCCACACCCTTCTTTTGTCCTTTGAGATTAATAAAAAGAGAAGTTCATTGTCCACATGCGACTTTTCAACCTCTTCCTGTCGAATTTTTTCTCGTTCCCATTTTTCCAGACGGCTTTTGCATTTTCGCTATTTTCAATATTGACATTTTTCTCTTTGGCGTTTTCCTACTTTAGTTATCGACAGTTACCTGTTCGATATTTTACATATCTGCGTTTGACACAAAACGCATCAATTACACGAAGTAGTTTCCTACTATAGTTTATACTATTTAGAATAAGTATTTCTACAGTTTAGAAAAAAACTATTTGTAAAATAATCATATATTTCCAACAGAAAAAAGTCTGGAACGATCGAAACATAGCTTGATGTCAACGTTTTTCCTATTATTCGAAGTAGTCTCAATGACATTCTTCATTACTCAAAAACAAAAGCCATTTTATTAATAACTTCGATTCTTAATCAGACAATATAACAATGTAGCTTTCAAAAAAAACATTTCTTGTCATTGATAGCTTCAATGATAAAGGTTGCGAAACTTTAGTTGTATGGTTGCTAGATTAACAAATAATAGCGTGCATTTTTGTGGCATTCTCACCTCCTTATCAACCAGTCAAAATGGAATGCATGAAAGCTTTTGCAACTCTCAGAATAAATAGATCTTTTGTAGTAGAGTAAAGTTGTTATGAATTCATACATCTATAATGCTTTCTTTTTTGAGATTTTGATTTGGCAAGGGCTGAAATGACCTGCAGTTTTGCCCCCGTTTCTTTGCTCCAATTCGCCCACGCGAACTCACTTTTATTTGGCAGCCATTAGGTTGAGCACCATTCCAACTTGCTTCGCAATGGTGTGATTTTGTTGTATTTCACTGAAATAAAAGTCGAGAACATTGAGAGTACTATAAAATACCGGCTTTTTCATGTGGTCCTCTGTAAGTTCTGTCAAAAAAACTTTCAGAGCAATACTATTTGAACAAAACAGATTATACACCTTAATTATTATTTCGTGCCGATAAAAATTTAACTTGATAGGTCTTCTTATGAAAGAAAATAACGATGGTCTTGCTCTTTTTCAGTGAAAATTTGGTTTCGAGACTAAGACAAACATCGTAGTACAATATTCAATGTAATATCAACATTTGTTCTTGCAATGGAGTAGATCAAAAATTGACATATTTAACGGTGTTGAAAGGCCGTTACAATTGCTAGGCATGTCTTGAAAACGTGAAATTAATCTTTTTATGAAGCATTTTATTCTAAAATTGAAGAATTATAGCGTATCGTTTTGATAGAAGCTTACAAAATCGATTTTAACTACATCATCAGTCATCGAAGGAGGCCTATCTATTCTGTAGTATTTAGTAAAGAGTATTTTAGAGATATACTAGTAATGAAAAAGTTAGTATCATATAAGCTATTTCGTCTAGTCTAAGAACATAGACTGAACGGCAGACGCCTTTAAAGAGCCAAAGACTGAAAAATCTTACAGAAAAAGTCAGTTTCCACTCAACTTGAGTCGAATGTGTAGAAGTTTCCAGCTTGCGAATGTCTCGTACTTATTGTAACTTACTTTTGAAATCCTACACTCATATTTGGTCGGCAGGTACATAAACATATTGAGCACCATGTGGGAACTATAGTAGGACTTTTCTATCGTGGATTTTGCTTGAACTTTTTCTACGTGACAATTGTAGAGAGATTATATGTTCTTCGAAGGCTTGCTTTTTTCTGAAGAAATAGATAAACGTGTCTAAAACTTTGAAAAAAGCTAAGTGTTTACATATTTGACTTCATGATGTTATAAATGTCTCTCATTCTGAAGTTATTGTCGAAAATAACATCAGAATATAATTATTGCTGAAATAGTCTCTTCTAAAGGATTAATTTTAAAACTTTCAGCCGATTGTGATTGAGTATAGAAAACAAGTATGTGCTGTTTAGGCTACTAATGTGATAAAAATGGTTAGGCATGTATTTATTTGATCAGTATTTTATAGTGAATGATTATTATGTTGTTTTATCAAATGATCAGCATTTTTCGATTAGTAAAAAATTGTTTTTAGGACAGTAAATAATTCGAAAGCCCAGTAATTAATTTAGAAAAACTTACTATTTTATTTTGTTTTTGCTTAGTATTTTATTAATTTATTTCAGTCAAGGTGTGAGAATGGGTGTGTAGTTGTGGATGTGAGGGGCTGGCATTATACAGAAACTCAAAACCACATCGAATCCCTCACCCACACCCTTGGCGATTAGTGTAGTGAAAGTTGAGTTAACTTCTTCAATATATATTCACTTCTTACGATCTTTGCTCGAATATTTCTTCTAGAAGAAACTTGATGCAGAAACAAGTGATCCGAAATTATCAATTGTTTTTCAACTAGATAGGCATCAATTAAGACTAGTTTATTTCTTCTCTTCCACTTTGAGATTAAAATGTGATACATGATGAAACTACTCTTATTATGACAGAGAAATCTAACTATGTCTATCATTATATTTTCGGAAATAAAGACCGACATTTCATAAATGCATTGAAACGTGCATAGACTGTAACAGCCATATTGAAAACTTCTCAAAATATTTATGACAATTTGTAGGACAGATCGCTAAGAAAGAGAGAAGAGGAAGGTCACTGTTCTCATTGCGTCATTCAAAACTCATAAACAGTCGTTTTTTCACAAAACTAATTTGAACTTTGAAGAGCGCAAAATATGTTATCCCAATCTCATGTGAAGGTTGAACAAAGTATCTTTACATTGTGGTTTTGTATCTCGAAACATGTAGTTTTATGTGAGATTCGTAGCTCATAGCCTCCATGCATTAACTATGAGCATTCTTCAGAAATTACAAAAATGATTTCGATAGCTCTACAGTACATCAAAAGCATCGACGTAGACGTGCCAATCCGAAGAGATATATAATTTGTCACTTATTGTCTGTTTCTCAGCCTCATTCGAATTTTATTTACATTCTTATCTTCTTTTCTTCTCACTAGACTACCAAAACCTCTGATGATGAATATTGGTCTGTAAAAGATTTTCAAAAAGATGATGATACCGAATCAGTAGTAAGCGATGATACAAGAAGTGAAAATCTCGATGACTATTTAAATGAGGCTTCAAGTCGAAGTTCAACAGCATCTGTAATAGTCGAATCAATTTCACTTGCTCATCGTCAAGAAATGGACGCAATTAAAGCTGACTTAAACAAGAAGGATCAGGAAAATCGAAGTCTACAAGCGCAATTACATGCTGCTAATGAAGAAATGCAGCGAGAACTATCGAATAATGAGCAGAAAACAGCTGAACAAGAAGCAGCATTCGAAAAATTACTCAAAAAGATCACACAATTGAATGATGCACAAAAAAGAGTCAAGGCAGAACAGGATGAAACTCGAAGAATAGAACAAGCCATTAAAGCTATTGACTATAAGGATATTGAAATAGAAATCGTACAAGATTTTTTTACGCCGAAATTTAGTCTGATACTCGACAATTTGAAGAAAACAATAACTAAATTTGGCAATTATCCTATTGATAAAATACTAAAAATGTTATTTGAAAAAAAAGGAAAGTCATATATTGTTACCATTGTCGGCTTCCCAGAGCATCATGAAACATTCAAAACAATCTTAAAACGAATACGACATTTAGTGCGTTTGAAGCAAGGAGCCATTGATTTTCATCAACGCAAATTAGATCGAATGAAAAATACAATAAAAGTCAATCTTTCAAAGGTTCAACAGAAAACGCAATATTGGAAAGAATACAAAAAATCTTTGGTTCAATTCATTAACGAGAAGTCGATTGAATATACAAAAATGTTTAATGATTATATAGGAGAAAAGATGAGTTCATTAACTGAACAATGTATTTCTAATGATTTGACATCAATTAAAACTGAAATTCACAGTCAAACAAATAATTTCATGAGAGATAACAATCTATTGTTCAAAGAAATCGAATCACTTAAATTTCAAGCCCTTGAAGAATTTATTCAGCAAAATATTACTATCCAACGCAATCATCTCGAGAAAAAGCCTACACCAACAGCAATATCCACACTAGAAAAATTTATTGAAAAAGTTCGAAATATACTGAAAACAAATCCAAGGTTTATTGGTCATGAAATAAAACATTATGGTATGATACCTGATCTATTACAACGATTAATGATTTATTATTGTTGCTTTAAAATACAACTACCTTTATACGAGTCGTCATTAGAACTATTGGATAAGATTGAACAGAATACAGTGACAACAATCGCAACATCAACTGGATCAGGTAAATCGAATTATTCGTTGTGATTTGTTGCACTTCTTTGCAACAGATAATAATCGATACTAGACAATGAATAGGGTGTAGGTGTGGTTCTTAGTCTTCTCTCAATTCATACCCACGCCCACACCTTCATTAGAGAATTTTCACAAGTGATAGAAATCAATTTTTCAAGAATACGGCGTTTTTATCCCTAGCTAATTTGTGATTGTTTCTCTTCAACTTATACAAGAATTCTCAAGATGAGGTAATGTAGTACTTACCCTACCTATTATGTATATTGAATGTCACGGCTAAAAATATTATTATTGAATAACGGAAATTTTTTGAAAGAGACTATGCATCGAGAGAAGTGTTGGATGTCCTGTATAGTTTTGGTCTTTTAAATAACGAATCGATTTTAAGAACTGAAATTGGAGGTACATTCATATTTTGTGTAGGACTATCAACTAGCAATGTTTCATTGAAATTGGTGACGTCAATCAAACAGTTGGTGTCATTTTTTAATCTTCTGTATCATGAAATGACTCGAAGCGAGGCTTGAGGATTTCCTTAAAAAAGCTTCTATTATTTAAATGAAACC